AGACCACAAAAAGTTGTGCTGCTGAGCATGTTAATTAGCTGCCAGAGCAGAGTCCAGCAGACTGAACACTGGAGTAAATTTCAGGCATAATCCACTGTTTGTTATGGCGTTGCACTGAGAAGCCAGTCAGCAGAAAATTATTTATGAGGCCTCTAATCAATCATCTTCACAGCTCTCGTGTAAAGAGCTCACAGGGAAGAGCCACTGTGATTAGTCAGGCTCTGTTTGTTCAAGTGCCTTAATCTTTATAATGATCTTTTCAGTACTCCTTTAACTGAAAATCTGAAAGACATTAATAATGCTAAACTGCAACTTCACAGAGCAGTTTCTTCCTTCCCAGTTTCCACCAGAAAAGGAGGAAAGCAAGACATCGTATGCAAGATCCAATCAACAAGGCAGTAATGAAGATAATAACAGTAATAATTAATAATAATAACAATAATAATAATAATAATCTATGAGATTTGGCTTTCAGGTTCATGCTAAAATCACAAATGAAACATTCAATATGGCACCAGCCAAACAAAGCAGTGCAACAGATCTCCCTCTGCTTCTTGTGCCGCAGATTTTGGTAAAGCTCCAGTCGCTGGTGGAAGGCAGGCCCTCCATTAAAGAAGCACCTGGCTGCAGGCGGGCACAGAGCCCGTTTGAGAGAAGCGAATGATTTCCCCAGAGCCCCCGGAGTCCACCGCCACAGCTCACGGCTGCTGAGCGGGGGCTCTGCTCGCCATGGGGCACCCAAAGAAGGCTAGGAACGCAGAAATCACGGAATGGGTAAGGCTGGAAGGGACCAAAGTGGGTCACTCGGTCCAACTTCCCTGCTCAAGCAGGGTCGTCCTGGAGCACATGTGCCCAGACGGTTCTGGAATATCTCCAGTGAGGGAGACTCCACAGCCTCCACGGGCAATCTGTTCCAGTGCGCGGTCACCGAAATGAGGAAGCCCGTGACACGAGGGCTCGTGACTGCTCTCTCCTCAGGCCAAGAGCAGGACCTGCCCTCAGCCCCGGGCACGGCTTCCCCCGGGAACGTGCTGGCTTCGCTGGGAGCGGCCCGGCCGGGCTCCTCCAGCCGGGGGCCGCTGCCCAGACCCGCCCGGGACGGAGCGCGGCTTCGCCCCGCGGCCTCGCTGTGCCCGCTCCCCACGTCCCCAGCGCCGCGCACCCACCTGCGGCCGCCCCGGGACCAGGCGCCGCCGCCCACAGGGAAAAGAGACCCGCTGCTCAGGCGCATCCCATGCTGGGCGGCCCGGGGACCACAGGCACAGGCGGCACCGGCCTCCTCCGCGTCCCGACCGGCTCCCTCGCCCGCCCCGCCAGCCGGAAGCCGGGAAGAGCGTGGCGGAACTGGAACCGGGCGCCAATGGGAGCGCGGGAGCGGCCAGGATCGCCCGCCCAGGAGAGCGGCGGAGCGAATGAAGCGCGGCGGGGGAAAGGCGGGCAGGGCCGGGGGCTCACCGGGGCACGCCCACTTCCTCTCCATCAGCCAATGGACGGTGAGCCTCAGCGCGGGGGCCCCGCCCCCGCTCGCCTTTCTGCCAATGAACGACGAGAGCGGGCAGAGAGGAGGAGCCCTCACGGCGCGGAGCGAGCTGCCCTTGCGATGCCGAGGCGGCGGGGAACAGCGGGGAGCAGCTCCCCGGGATGGGGATGGGGATGGGGATGGGGATGGGGACGGGGACGGGGACGGGGACGGGGATGGGGACGGGGACGGGGACGGGGACGGGGATGGGGATGGGGACGGGGACGGGGACGGGGACCGGGATCGGGATCGGGATCGGGATCGGGTACCGGGATCGGGATCGCCGGGCTCATCAACTCATCCAAGTGCTCTGTGACTGTCCCTCGCTGGCGTCGCGCTCTCCCCTCTCCTGTGCCCCGCGCGGGTTCGCAGCAGCCGCAGGCAGGCGGCCGCATCGGCAGGGGTGAAAGGCTTTTGGGCCTCGCCCTTCCCTCGCTCCCGCTGCCGCAGCAGTCCCTCTGTCGCTGGGCTTTGCCATCCCTACCCAGCAGGTGCCTCCAGAGTGACTTGTGTGGCAGGAGCGAGGCGTCTCGACCGCTTTACAAAACTGCTTTGTGGCCTCGATCCTTCTGATTTTGTCCTCGCTTTGCGTCTCTGGTGGATTCTCTCCATGTTTTGTTGTTATTCTTTGGAATAAAGGTGCCTCCCCCAACTCCTGCAGATTTTGCCACTGTAGAGGAATTCCAGGTCTAGCACACAAAGTTAGTGTAATGAGCATCTTGGATGTCATTAATAAAGCTATAAACGTGAGATGCGAGACTGGCCTGTTCAAAGGACATCTCTGTGATATGTTCCCAGAGCACGTCCACTTTCCAGGAGTCTGTTACTGGAGGGGACAGATGTTCTTTGCCAGAGTTCTGAGGCTTTTGCATTCTCTAGTTAAGAAAAAAATGCTGCAGTTAGTGAATGTACCAACATGCTGGAAAAAGTACCTGTCCGAGAGAAATTTGGGAGGTTCCCCCTCCGGTATGCTGCTTCAGCAGTGAAGAACTAGGGAAGAAGTGCTGCTGCCTCCTGGAAAACGGATCAGTTTAGTCCTGCTGTGACCCCATACTGACAGTATGGCACAGCTGCATTAGTCAGATTTATTTATTCACACTTACTTAATAACTGAGAGTTGCCTTCACACCTTCAACAGTGTGTTCCCTCCGACTCTACTTCCTGTCCTGCTGATATTAGAAGAAAAAAAAGGTAAACCACATTAAAACAGAGCTCTTAGTTCTTTCCCACCAGCTCTCACTTCTCCAGTTCTTCACAAAAAGTGCTGTGTTTGTAGTCACTCTGGGCCAGCAGGCAGCCCAGGCACTTAAAAAGTGACAAAACTGGCAGGAACTGGGAGAAACACCTTTATTCCAAAGTATGAGAGAACATGGACATACTGGAGAGAATCTACCAAAGAAACACAAAATTAGATCTGGACACTTCAGCTGTGTCTGAATCCTGTTAGTTACTTTTCAGCTATATGGACTGTATTCCCAGCTAAACTCCCTTGTTAGTATAGCAAATTCTCTGAGCTTGAGAGCTCTCTTTAGACTTCTCTATTATTGATTTGAAGCATTTAGGAGAGATCTGCCTCTCATCTTGCTCTGCTGTCTTATGCCTTCCCCATCCTTTCAAGCGCACACTCCTTGTCTTGCTGTCCACAGGCCCTACCTAGGATTGGAAGGAATCTTTTGGGTCCAATATGCCACCCTTAGAGGCAAGTGAAGAAATTTGCAGAAATATCCAATCCCTTCCCCAGCATGTGCATTGTAATAAATTGGCCACTCAGTGTCAGGTAAGCATCCTCCCGTGCAATCATTTCTTGAATTTAGAACATGTCACCAGAAGGGGGAACAATCATCCCTGTTGGAGGTAGCAGTCATCCCAACTCCTTTGTTGAGCATGCCCAAACAATTATTGGAAATTAACTGTAGGATACTGTGCTGAAGAAGGGCAGCCTGAGCCTGACCAATATCCCCATTCTAAGCATGAAAGGGAAGGGATCAGAATGTGGATTAAAACAAAACCCAGCCAACCATGCAGCTAAGGGATTTCTCAGGGTGCTGGAAACATCTGTACTCCCCACCACAGAGTCACAGAATCTTTTAGGTTGGAAAAGACCGTGGAGATCATTGAGTTCAACCATTAACCTGACCCTGGCAAGCCCAGCACTAAACCATGTCCCTAAGCTCACATCTGCATCTTTTTAAAGTACTTTCAGGGATGGTGACTCAACCACTTCCCTGTACAGCCTGTCCCAGTGCTTGATATGGTGAATAATTTTTTGCCAGTATTCAATCTAAACCTCCTCTGGCACAACTTGAACACTTCTCATCAATGGTCAATGCTTCAAAAGAAAAGTAGCCTTTCTTGTTGTTGCTGACCTCAGAATCACTAAATGGTTCAGTTGGGAAGGGACCTTTCAAGGTCATCTGGTCCCACCCCCTGCTCAAGCCAGGCCGCCTACAACCTGGTCCACCTACAACCCAGGACTGTGTCCAGGCCACTCTCCATTCAGGGACACACCACAACCTCTCTGGCCAACCTATGTCAGTTTTCAGCCACCCTCAGAGTAAAAAAGTGTCTCCTGATGTTCAGAGGCAACACCTTCTGTCTTTCAGTTTGTGCTCATGGCCTCTTGTCCTGCCACTGGGCACCACTGAAGAGTTTCGCTCTTCTTGTAGCCTCCCTTCAGGTATTTACACGCATTAATTGGATCCTAACCAAGAAGTCTTTTCTCCAGGCCAAACAGTACCAGAGCTCTCAGCCTTTCCTCCCAGGACAGAAGGTCTGGTCCCTTTATCCTCTTTGTGCCCCTTTGGTAGATTCTCCTCAGTATGTCCCTGTCCTCCTTGTACTGATGCTGCTGAGATGTTGACTTGGAAGGACTTGAGGAATGCCAGCTCTCAGGGCCTGCCTTGTGTCTCAAGCACAGTCATACCTGTATTGGGTATAGACAGTTCCCAGTTTGAAGTGGAACTGTCCAAAGCTCACAAAGCTTTTCAAACCTGTGCTGTCCACATCTACATCCTGTCTGACAGCAGTTGGGTGGCCAGTTAGCCACAGCCATTGCTTTATCACAATTTTCATCTTGTACTCTCACTATTCACCTTTTTTGCCTTGTGCTGTCACCATCCTGCTGCCTCTGCCCTGAAGGGAGCTCCTCAGAGCAGCACGAATCCTCCCAATTCCTGCATCAGGGGTAACCACACCCTTTTGCATTGGCAACAATTAGAGTATACCCCTGAACTTTGTGATTAATCACCTTTTCCATTAGCAGGTGTTCTTGAGACATTCTCCATCAGGTTAGAAATTGAAAGCTGCTGCAGTTCCGCTGCTCTCCATTCCGTTGTAAATTTGGTTATCTTAGCAGCTGGAGATAGAGGTAGCAGCTTCATATTTCTTGTCTTCTGAATATAGCCTCAGGCTTCCTGTTTCACAGCCCTGTTGTTCAACAGCCTGATCGAAACATCCTTTTGTGCACACTCCTTGCTTTGGCATGGAGGCAAGCAGATCAGAAATTTCTGCAGCTGATGAGAGCGAGGAAGTAACATATACTTCTGTCAGATTCTCTCAGACTCCTCCTCCAAGGCCCAAAACTCCACAGGAGAAAAGAGTGAGGAAAGATGGATCAGGTAGGACAACCAAAAATTTTACTTTGAGTGAAAGCAAGATTTAACAGAAACACTCTGAACTGGCAACTGTTTCTGAGTGCCAGCTTAGAGACCTGTTGCTTTGGTTCTAAAATTACTGTGGATATTTTGATGTGATTAAAGCTGACGAGTGACGAGTTAGAGACCCAGCATTTTTCCCCTCCCTCTCACCGAACTCCTTCAGTGTCTACTCCTGGGCATTCAACCCAGGCATCCTTTTCTTCAAAACTGGTTTTAAGTTGTCTGCTTGTCAGCAGCAAGAGGTTGTGAGCAATAGTTCTTTGAAGGGCAGGCAAGATGCAAATACAGATAAATTAGAGGCACATGCTAATCAGAGATCAGAGACAGAGAAAGCATATGAGATCATCCAGCCTCTCTCCTGTGGGGCTATGCAGAATTCTTTTGTGATTTTTTGCTGTTTTCTGTGTTCTAGTGTTACATACCTCCCAGTGAAAAAATTTTCAGCTTTTGCTGTGAAACAGTTTTTCAGAGCACTTTACTATCAGGAAAATTTTCTTAGTGCTTTCCTTGAACTTTTACTTTTCTTATTTCCTCTCCATTACCCCTGATTAGACTTGCAGATGTCGCACCAAACAATTCCTCTGACAGCTTAGTGTAGAAATACCACCTTCAAAGGGTCAAACTTTGCATTAGTGATCCTTCTTTGTAAGAATTTCTTTCATGCAAAAAGGTGGAGGTGTTGGAACTAGATGAGCTTTAGGGTTCTTTCCAGCTCAGATAATTCTATGATTCTATGAAATGCCAGTGAGCTTTAGATGAGTTCTGTTGTGTTGGCTGCAACACTAATGGTTGACTTCAAATTTACAGACGTGTTACAGCAAAGGTGATTCTCACTGTGGGATACAAGATTTCTATACCCTGATCAGAATAATTTTGTATACCTAAGGTGTTTACTACTGTCTGGTCACTTGTTTCACTAAGGAAACAAAGCCAGCACAGAAACTCCCCAGTTCCTATCTGGTACTCACACTCCATCTGTTTGGAGGGCAGTCTTTCTTTTGCATATGTTTTCACCAGAAATTATGTTTTCTGTTGCATCAGAAAACACAGTAACATCCTTTCATTCCCTGCCATTCCTGTTCACCCCCACCCTGTTGAAAGGGGATTAACCAATGCCCTCTTTAGATGTTTGCATTTTTCTTTTTAACATCTCTCCACATTCTTTTATGGAACCTCATCTTTTTGAGCTATGGTCAGACAACTGAAAATAAGAAAGCTGATACTTGAACACACTTCTTGTGCATATTATTTGATTATTTCTCAGCTTTCTTCAGCATGAAAGAGATCCCTAAGGAACTCACTTTAAGTACCTTTCTTTTGAAGGTCTTTATGTTCAACTCTGTTCCTGCCTCCATCACTTCTGAGAGATGTGCTGTCAGGTATTTTTCCCTTGCTGACTTTGTAGGCACAGTATCACGGGTGTGTAGATCAGTCCTCTGGTCAAACCAACAAATTTTGGTGCTACTCCTCAAAAATGAAAAGTTTCCCTGGTTGTTTCTTCTGTTTGGCTTCCAGAGAGCCTTAGATATGCGGCACTACCAGAATGTCAGTACAGCAGTCACTTAGCCTGTGTAGTGTGCTTGTAGTAACAGCAATAACCAGGTCTGTGCCACAGCCAGGAACAGAATCCTTGTATCTCAATTTCTCCTCCTTGGCTCTGGGTAGTCATGCTGCTCCCATACTGAGGTAGGCAGGAGATGAAGGGAGCTGTTTGGGACAGTGCCATGATATTCTTCAGATTGTCCTAAAGAGTTGAATTGTAAAATGGTAACAGCTTTCAGTTTTTGAACTGAATCTGGACTCACAAACCTAAAAATATTGGGTCATACTGCTTGCAAGTGAATGGAGAGTATCAGAGTCATTTCTCCAGAGCACCGAGAGACTTGGGGTGTTTTGTAAACAGAAAGTGATAACATTGGATATTTACATTAAATGTCCACCAATCCACTTACCCTCTTCAACAGACTCTTCCACAGTTCATCAGACAACTACATGGAAATATTTCTGGATGCTCCATTCAGATTTTCCTCCTGTTTCAAACTCATCTTAGGTACTTCTCCCATCCACTTCTGCAAGAGCTTCACATGTAGTTCGGGGACTGAGGTTCACACAGAAACCACTGAACTTGTTTTAAAAAGTGTGAACTTCAGCGGCTCCTTTTGCAGCTGGTAAAAATCCTGATTTGTGAAATACTTTATTCCACTTATCTGGATTGATCTCTGCAGTTCGAGTGAAGCTTAAATTCACCTCAAACACTTCCTGTTTTCCCACTTCACTTTGTATTTTTTTTTTCATTCCAAAATTATCTAATGCCATATTTTTTTCATTTTTATGAACTTTAGTGACTCTCCCACTGCTGGGCTTGTGGAGGTGCCCTGGGATTTTGTTTTGATGATGAATCATTCCCTTTTTTCTGCAGTTGGTTTGAAACAATAGAGAGTGAACTGCTCTGTTCATTGCCAGGTGATGACATTTAAGGATTAACTGTTTCAAACACTGCCATCCTGGTTGCCTTGTCTTGGCAGTTTTCCCTAAAATCTGAGTGATCAGAAAGATGCAGGAGACAGCTACTTTGGAGAGGCAAGAAAGGACAGAAAAGAAAAGTACAGATGTGATCTCAGAACCAGGAGTTATATTTCATCAGATGTTTATCCACTTTTGCCAAGTTTTCGGTTGTAATCTGCCGAGAAAAATCTCCACCCTACCCCTTAACCTTGGGCTGATTTAATTCTCTTGAGGCCTAATCTGATGACAAAACCCAAGCTGCCAGGGATACAAACAAGAAGAATAGAGAGCAGAGTCAAATTTAAGTTCCAGACCCAGTCCAAGTCCTTCAGTTCTCCTGCTTTCCCTTTGTGTGAAGCTGAGGAGTAGGGTGTAACTGAAAAGCCTTTCTGTATTTTGTCTCTGAAAATGTTATGTAATGATGATTTTAAAAAATAAGAAATGATACTATTTTTAAATTATGTTTGGGAGAGCTAGAAGATCCTACAAGCTTCAGGAAACGTGAGAAAACCTCTATCTTAGAAAAGATCTTTATACCAGAAGAATGATGCTTACAACAATGCTCCCTCATGATCTTCCTTGTTACCTTAGAAACTTCTTCTAGGTAAAACCACAGGCCTAAGTGTGTCTCTACAGATGAGAAACTGGCCTTAACAAGTGAGCCTGCAAACTGCTCAAGATCAAAATAAATTGATTTTTATTTATTTAGTGATCTGGTCTACTTTCTGTATTTGGACAAAGCTTCCAATGTGTAAAGAATGTGTTCTTGTTTTTAAGTGGATTCCCTTAAAACCTTCTGTTTTAGCACTGGCTTTCTTTGTTTTTCTCACAATATTCTTCATATGTGATCTGCATTTGTTTTCAACCTCGCCCAAGAGATCAAATACGTTTCTTTGTGTCTCGTGACATGGTGAAGAGAGAAGCACCTCAAATTTCATAAGATCCATGAGGATTTTGTTGCTAGATTTGGGTAGAAGGCTCTGGAACATCACAAGATCAGGATGTGGTACATAAGTTAGCTGCATATTTACTGCTTCTTAGAAAGTGCTGTTGTCTCAGCAGCTGCTCTACTGAGATTAATAAAAAAAGCAAACCAAACTCCCCTGGAGCTCATCCATACCAGTAAGTGTCATCCTCTCTTCTGTCTGGGAGAGAAGAGATTTTAGTGCTGAAATTTCAAATATTTTATGCAAACTGAATGCCTCTTGGGTCAAACACAGCTCCAGGAGATGGCAGTGGAAAAGCAACATGTAGCCTGGAGGTGAACACGTTGTGCTGTACATAAGCAGACCTCTACAGGCCAGTCCTGACCAGCCCTTTGAAAGCAAGCTGTGCTGGGCTACAGTGGAAGTTGCCCCAAGGACTCACCCTCTGCCACTGGCAGCCAGTGAACAGCAAACAGTGGTGGTGAAAGTGTGAGAGATGTCCCAAGGTCTTCAAGGCTGGCTCACCCATCCTACCGCCCCACCATGGATGATGAAAATGTAGAACTGCCTTGGGAGTATCCTGGGAAGATGTAACATGCCCATGTGTCTAAGCCTGTGAGCAGGATGCTGAGATTAAACCTGTTGTTATTGCTGGGAGAGCTGGGGGAAAGATCTTATGATTTCTTTTTACATGTAAGCTGGAACATGGTGGCTGTAGCTATGCAGCTCTCTGGTTGTCACCCCAAGCTTCAATTCTGAGGCAGGAGTGGATTTGTTGGGAGGCTCCTGCCAGCAGGAGGTGTCACATAGTGCCTCGGTGGCTCCAGCTCACTTGTGGTAGGTGCTTCCTCTGCTGGGCTCAGCCACCACAGAGGCTGGACCAGCAGGCTCTGTGGCCAGGCAGGGGCTGCGCTATGGCTGATGTAGAGAAAGGTACCCCCTGGGAAGCTCAGACAGGAACTGGTGGCCCCAAACCCAGCTGAAATGGGGCCCTGGGTTGATGGGGAGGCCCCAGTTTGGCTGGGCAAGGACAGTGATGTCTACTATGAGCAGAGTGTATACAGGCACGATGCTCTAAATAGTGCAGTTCCTTGTGGAAATGCCCAGGACACAAGCAAACTATGTAAAACCACAGTCAGTTTTCATGTGGCTTCTGTTCACGGTGGTTTCTTTTCTCTTTTACAGCTCCCCGTCTGTGGTCAGCAGTTCTGAAGGGCTTGGCCATAGGTTTTGGCACACTGAGCATCTCCCTGGCAATTGCTTTGATTTGGAAGATGAGTAAGTGCACAAAGGGCTGCTGAACATGAGCAACCAACAGCAAGGGAGCAGCGACACATCTAACCACAGAAACTCCATCGTATGGAGTTAAAACCAGGAGCTCTTCTAGGTTTCTACCAGCCTTATGTACCCACTGCCTGTCCAGAATATTTTGAAGAATAAATTCCTCATGCAGACTCCAGGAAACCATTTCAGATCCTGTGGCAAAGAACAGTTAAATATATTGAAAAGTCTTTGTAGATTTGCCTGGTAAATGTAGTGGCAAACTATAGAACAAATAGGTCTGTAATATATTTGCAGGCATGCAGATGGTGCAAGACTATGTGGAGGAGCTTCCTGTTAGTTGCTTAAAATCCATCCACCCAAGCTGAGAAGTGATCACACCATACCCACAGAGCGTGATCTGTTTTCAGATAGCCAGCTGGGTATCTGAAATGGGTATCTAGATACCCATTATTGGGTTTGTGAGAGGTTTAGTGGAAACCTGGGGGTGAGGTGAGTGTGTGCATGCTTGCCACCAGCATCTGAGAACATGGGACTATTGTAAGATTTTGAAATTACACTATTATTTTCAGAATCTTGTCCTGATTTGAGTTTTCTGCATTTCAGCTATTCAAATGAGTTGTTTCTCAGTAGGTCCTTGCTGACAAGTGTTTCTGTTGGTTAATGGTAGAGAAGAAGATGAGTATTTTGACTTCTTTGCAGGTGACTGCCACCCACACTGCCCCCAAGAGTGGGTGGCCTACAGAGGGAGCTGCTACTCCTTCTCCACGGAGAAGAAGGACTGGAATTCCAGCCAGGAATCCTGCAGGGCACAGGGAGCTCACCTCCTGGTGATCAATGATACCTTGGAGATGGTAATGGTTTTCTTTGGCTTTGAGGATCTCCCATTTCCTTGCAGATACCCAAGTGACTGGCATACAAGCAGTGCTGTCACTGCAGCAATATTTTGGTTTTAAAGGAGAGGAGGGCTTTATGACTGTGGTGTTACACATCACAAAGTTTGCAGGAAGCAGAGAAGCAAAGGGGAGAACGGAGAGATGAGGGTCACTGTCAGGTCACACTCAGAATACCCTGTGAAGGATGGTAGGAGACAGCCTTCTCCACTGTTCCTCTCCACCTCCTCTCCTATTCCCAATAAGACTGATATGAATGATTACAGTGGCACTGAGCAGTCATTGTATTCGTTGCCTACAAACTGATATGTCCCCCCTCTCAAGGAGTGCTTCCTTTGCAAAAGCAACACTTGTCCTCCCTGTGAGCGCTCCGGCTCCTCCTGCTCAGTGACCCATGCCATTCCCTGGGTTCATGCTTAGATATTTCTTTCTCAGTCTCTTTTCAATTCTTACTTCCTCCCTCTGCCGAAATACCTCAGCTGTGCTGGTGGAATAAGGAACCATGTGTTCCACTGCAGGTGCTCCCTGGGGGCAGGGGCACCTATTGTCCCTAGAGAAAGGGGCAGTGCTGATTACTGGGGCGCTGAGGCACATCTGCTTAAGTAGAGCAGAAACCTTGATCCGGTTTTGCTCAAGCCAGGGCTTATTAGCTCAGGTCCAATGAACGTGGACAGCTTCCAGGCCGTGGACAGAAGTTGCATTGTGTGATGTCCTCTGGAGGATTACAAAGCCAGGTCTCTGCTTGACTGGGAGTATGTACCAGGCTCTCAGATTTGCTTAGACAAATCCTGTCTCCTTGAGAAATAGGCATCTTCCCCAGATTACCCATTTCTTCGGCATGAAGAAAAGCTTCCTGCTCCCGCTGCTTTCTTACCACCATCTCAGCTACTAGGTTACCCATTATCCCTGCTCAGGGATAGGGTTAGGGTTGGATTAGGGTTAGGGTTTAGACTCACCCATCTAAACAAGACTTTTCTAGTTATCCATGTCTTGTACTGCAAAGGCTGTGATTGCTCAACCTCCAAGTGCTAGGGAAACATAGTCATCTCCAAACCACCAGCGACACTCCAGTGATTCCTCAAGCTGCTCCTATTCCCACAACTTTACCAAGCCTGCTTTGTTAATGCTTCTCTCTGAAGATGTCTTCTCTGAAGCTTTGTTTATGGCAGCAGGAGATAAGGATGGAGCCCAGCCATACCCCTGAAAGGTTGCTGTTCTTTGGTTGCAAAGGTGGACAAGACAAACTTACGTTTCCTGGCTTTGTCTTTTTTATGGAGAGGAGGGTTGGGGATGGGGAATTTACTTCAGGGCTGAATTTCTGTTGCAGGCTTCACCTTTTAACAATAATCAGAGATTGAAAGTTAGCTAAAAGGAAATGAACATTGAAAACACATAGGGCGAAAATGTGTATGAAATTTAAAAAGCTTTCATACTGGGCTTGTTACACATATCTGTCGGTGCCTGCGCTTCCTGCCCTATCCTGCCCTGATTTTACCTTTAATTGTCAATACTTCTTATTAGCTTGCTAGTTAGCTGTATAGTAGGGTGTTGATATTAATATTAATAACATATCTTCCTACATAAAGCTCTGTGCAGGAAATTCCAGGAGATTGGAGTGCAGTTCATAGAATCATATAATCACAGAATATGCAGAGTAGGAAGGGACCCATCAGGATCATCCAATCTGACTCCTGGCCCTGTCATTAGAAGGTGTGGGGAAGCAGTATTGTTAGTCACTTAAGGAACAGTGAGGTGAGGGGATGTATCTTGCTCTCTGTTCTCTTTACTTATCTCAATTTTCAAGCTGGCTTTCATTAGTCACTTTGTAATTCATCATAATTTCTAGGATCTGTTCAAGCGTATTCAAGCAGAATATTTCTGGATTGGACTGAGGAACAGTACAAGCTCTGGTTGGATTTGGGAGGATGGCTCTGTATTAAGTGATACCAGGTGAGTTTCATTCTGTTTTAAAAACAATAGTGCTTATTCAGATTGCCTGGTGTTCCAGAACAGCCAGAGTGCCTCCTCCAGATGTCAGGAGCTTTCTTCCTGGGCAGATTTTCTTCTTGCTGTCACCGTACTGCACTAAGCTCAATGATGTTTACTTTTCACTGCCCTGTACCTTGTAAAGGCATGTACCTGTCAAAAGCAGGTCAAGTATTAGTATCTCACTCTCTGCTTCCCTCCAGCTGCTCAGACCAAGGACTTTATTTACCTGTACCAGCACACAGATGCTTGGTCAGAAAGACATATGGCTTTACTGGCTTTAGCCACCTTGCACCCATTCTGTAGAATGCTGGTGTCACTGGGTGCAAGAACCCAGCCCTTTCCTGCCCTACTGGTGCCAACCTAAGTCAGAACTTTAATTTTATCTCAGTCTTTATTTGGACAAAAGTCAGTGTTTTCCACCAGGGAAAACATTTTTTTATCTGGTGACTTTGCCTGGCCCTTTCCTTTTTATGGCAGTTAAGGCAATGACTTAGTTTCTAAAGCCTCTCCAGCAAGCAAAACTTGCCCAAGATCTCACTGTCAACAGGTCAGTACTCTGAGCACTTGGCTTAGTTCCCTGAATAAATCCAGCTTTCTGTTCCTACAAACTCTTTGAAGGCAGTGATCATTCCATGAGACTTTCATTCAAATACCACTGCCACTCACATGCTGGTGGCTATCATCTGCCACTGCAGGGAATTTTGTCTGAGTTTGGGTCTGATTTGGGTTCTGTGATGGCAAAATTACTTAGCTCTGGCAGGTAGATAGGTTCTTTTTGTACATTTTATTTTCTAACAGCTGCCTTTTGGAGGTCAGGTTGTTTCTCTTCCTCTGGGCTACACCCTTCAAAAGCAGATGTTTTAAATTTCTTGTCTCCAGGAGACAATCTCAGTATTTTCTTTCATTCTCACTACTGTTCCATGTCTCTTGCAGGGTCCACTCTAACAGCCCTGTGCAAAATTGTGCTGTCCTGACAAAAGATCAGTTTCATGCCTCCAGCTGTGAAGTTTTGTTTCAGTGGATCTGTGAGAAAACATTTAGATAAATCCCATGTGCTTTTTCATCTCACAACGACCTCATCAGCAGTATGAGTTGATCATTGCCCTGCAAACTGAAGCCTCATACAGGACCAAGGACTTACCTTTTCCATACCCTCACTAAAGTGTTTTACAAAGACAGGTTTGTTGTCCAATTGCTCTCAGTATAGATTTATTCTCAGTCCACAAGTGTTGGATTACTGCTCTTTGTGACCAGATGAGACCTGGGACATATTCCCTGGCCTACTCTTTCCCTTATTTATCCAATAAAGGCAAATAAAAGCTTTGTCACAACAGGTGTCTTCAGACCTCTGAGGGGGACCTAGTCATTTTCCCTCACTTCTAGGTATCAGATTTCATTTCCATTCCCTGCAACTCCATTGTCTGATATCAGAAGGACCAGGAAAGGAGGCCTGCTGTTCATTGACAGAAACATATAAACATATTTCTCCTAGTGGCAGCTTCTCCTTTTGCATGCCAGTGGTATGAGTGGGAGAGAAGAGAGTGAAATTTACAGACCTGCAGCTTCTGTAAATCCAGCAGTGAAAATAAATCTCGGACTGCACTGAACCAAAAGTGTGTACCTGTGCCACTTCTTCTCTCTGTTGGAAGGAATTAGGCAGGTTTAAGCAAGCTAGTCGAGAAACTGGACTTCTGGAGTCAAAGGAATACAGCTAATTCTGTGTAATTATATAATCCACCAGGAACCTGTTTTCCTCCCCATCTGTGCATTTTCTTACTGCAGATAGAGGAAGAAGTGGACAAACCCTTAATGCAATGATCTTCCAGTTCAAATAGAGCAGAGACAGGCTCAGAGTTTGAATGCCATAAACCCACAGTGAATATTTGGGAACACTGTCTTCAGTTCTGGGCTGCTCAGTACAAGAGAGACATGGCCATACTGACTGGAGAGTCCAACACAGGGCCACAAATATGACAAAAGGACTGGAGCATCTCCCCTCTGTGGAGAGGCTGAGACAGCTGGGATGGATTATTCTAAAGCAGAGAAAGCAGAGGAGAGATCTTATTCCTACAATCATAGGAGCACAATAACCAGCTTCAACATTTCAATTCAGATTACATATATTTGCTTAATATTTTTCTTATAATTGCAGGAAATCCTTGCCAGTGGCATTATCTTCCACCTGCTTAACAGGATGCTACACGTGAAGGTATCAAGGTGGATAAAGACAAAATTACAGACCTTAGCACACTTAGCTAAGTGGATGTCTACTGAGCCTCATCTAGAGTTCACTGAGATGAGAGTCTCAGGTGAGAATGTGTTACAGCAAGGAGGAGTCTGCTTTTTCCTAACCATGACTGCAACAGCCAGACCTGGGGGAACTGCAGTGTGGTGGGAAGTCAAAACAGAATTTTCGTCTTGGGTTGTTTAAGTTTCTTTGGGTGAGTCATTTTATCTGTGCCGGAGTCCATTCAGATACCAAAAGATAGTTGTTTCTGACCTCTGGAAAGTTGCCAGACACTATGAAATAATGCTGAACACTTTGCTTGCTTTGTCAAAATGGTGGTGGCATCTGTAGAAGGGCACTTACCAGTTACCTTACCAGAGAATACCACTGAAGAAAGAGCTTCTCATATTATCATATGTAGGTGAGATGAGAATGTCTCTGAGCTTGCCTACTTTACCTTGCCTGAATGGATTGAAAACATTTTTCTTCACTTTTTTGCTACAGAGCACATTTTTGACCAAGCTCCTAATGATCACGAGCAGGCTTGGGAGCTGTGAGAGCTGTTTGGCTGTTTGACAAAAAGGGTAGATCTCTGTAGAGATCCTTCTGCCATGTGCAGTTTTGCATCTTGTCCTGTCGGGTTGGTGTTCCATCACTCCAGCTCCTGACCTTTACCACTGTAAATTGTCATCTTCTAAAAGGCTTTGACCAGCCCATATGTATAAATCCTCTCCTCTGTGGGTGAGGCAGAGTTTCCTGGATTATGTTTCTTTTGGGCAAGCAAAGCCATCTTTAGTATCAGATGCTGAAGGAAGAGCACAAATCTGGGCTGTCTTTTGTGCAGTCCCCAAGGAAATTGCACATGCACTACTATCCTCTTTTTTCCTATGCAGGTCACTGCAGGGCAGAATGAGGTCGGTAATGAAGGTTTGTAATTGCACTGCACTTGGATTTCTTAACTCCAGAGTTACTCAGCCTAACAAAATTTTGATGATTATATGAGGAGAAGGGTAGGACAGACAAAAAATGATTTTATCCTGCACACTTTTTAATCTGAAAATTATGCTTTACATCCTCTAACACAGATCTCCATTCTTTGGAGTTTGCATTAGAACTATAAATAAGACAGATATTCTACTGCCACTTGCAAGGGTAATAATTACCAGAGCTATTGATCCTCCTGCTGCAGCCCAAGTAAAGGCAGTGGTCTAAAGACTCCATTTCCCTCTCTGGTACAATATGGCCCATCACAGTGCATTACATGAATATGCACTTAATTAAATCAGGATGATTCCATCAAACAGCAATAATTTGATCAAGATGTATCAATAACTTCATCTGGAACCAGAACCAGTAGAAGGAAAGTAAGACCCAGGCCACATATGTTCTGCTGTGTGAGGGTAGCTGCTGCTCTGGGCACTTGGTTAATGTGTTACATGCTGTTAATGGGTTGAACTTTTGGCAGCTTCCCGTCATGTCACTGTCCCTGTTTCTGTCAGGGTGAAGGCCAGATCATTTCAGTTGACTTGATTTTCCAGGCATTTTGTGGCCTCTTTTCCTGGCATTAGCTTTGATGGGACCAGGAACAGGGAGCAAAAGGGAACAGTGTGGGTGGAAAGGGAAGGTTTTTTTAATTTCCATTCCCTGTTTTCACAACCTGTTAATGGGAGTTAGACACACCAGGTTTCTTTCCCAATTCCTAACTCAATCTCCTGCTCCCAGTTTGAAGGAAATCAAACAGCTCCTGTGCTTCCAGCAATCCCCATGACCAGTGCCATGTCCAGCTCCATGCAGAGAGTCATGTCCAGCTCCATGCAGAGAGCCCTGCCAGAAATGGAAGCCTTCACCTCATGCTCTGCCATTAGCCCTTCTTTCCTTAGCTAGAGCCTTTCCTCTTCCATTGCCTCTGTCCTGCCCCAGCAGAGACAGAGCTCTGGCCTGCCAGGAACCCTCCCCTCCCTCTCCCCCCCAGCCCTGGCCTTCTGCCCAGATTGGAGCTGCTAGTCCCAGCTCCTCCTTGCTGCCTCTCCCTGTTTCCGGATGGGCCCTGGCCCCCAGCCCTTATCTCCTCCAGCCCCTGGGCTGTTTGCAGAGGAGAGTATAAAGGGGCTGACTGGGAGAGCAGAGGGGGAGTAAAAGCAGCACTGGACCACACTGAGTGCCTGCTTGACTCACCACGTACCATGGGGATGAACGGGCTGCTTGTCAAATCGAGCATCTTCCTCCTCCTCTTCTTCCTTCCAGGAGACACCTCACCCATCACAGAGCCGTAAGCTATGCTGGGGGGTCTCTGGGCAGGCAGGAGACCTTGGCTGTATTCCTGTGTCTATTCTCTGTCCCTTGTCTTCTATCTAACTTCTTTTATCCAGGAATAAAGATACCAGGGCTGGGTAAAGTGCCTTCTAAAAATGGGAACTCTAGTGCTTGAGAGAGATGGAAAACAAGCTGTTAAACTGAGATATCAGTAAAACTTCAGGGGATTGACAGGATTTCAACAAAGTTTTATGCACAAAATTAGTCCTTTTGAAAGACAACTTTTCATAAATGTTTGTGCAATGAGGTCTTCTTAAGAGACAAACTGTTTTGAAAGGACAATGAAAGGTTTAATTTTGGGTTGACTGTCCTACTCCCAGTTGAAATGCCCAGGAGCTGGGAGTGGCTTTTTAAAAATGATAATGAGAAGAAAATTAACAAATAGCTCATCTGGCGTGCTTGGAAATTGCTTTATTTTTTAATTCACGTTTTTCAGTTCAGCCAATGGAATGAAAATTCCCTTCTCACGCAGGGTAATGTGACACTGTAAGACTGTGACTGTCCAGGTTTGTGAGGGTATAGTGTCCTGCTTCCCTTCTTCACCCCCTTTTGCCCTGTTGGTATGTGAAGGGCATTTGTGTTGTGTGCATGGGTGTATATGTGTGGTAGGAGCAGCACATGAAGCGTCCTGACGTCCCAAAGACTTTCTCCTTTGGCTTTTTTGCAATGTCTTTTCCTCCCCTGCAAAGCACAGAGCACCTCACCCATCACAGAGCCCATCACAAGGGGCGCAGGGGAATTTCTGAGCAAGGCTGTGCTGTAGTGCTTTCATCAAATGCAGGGGAAACAGACAGTGGGATCTGAGGGGCCAGAGCTTGATCCCTGCAGACCAGCTGTTGGACAAAAAGGTGCCAGAGCTTCTGCCATTGCTGAAGGGAATGCTTTGCCTTAGTGCTGAGGTATTGAGGGCTCCTCTCCCATCTGCTCTTTGCTCTGAGTGTGCCCAGTGGAGGCCAGTCCTGTCCACCAAAATGGGAGCATGGTTAGTGTTAGGTGGATCTGGCTTGATTCCCAGATGCAGTGCTGGGCACCGGGACACCACCGGCAAGTTGCCACCCTGGAAAGGAAGGAGACTGCCCAGGGCTGAGCAGGGATCCCCTGTCGGGCTGAGACAGAGAGCCTTGCTTCCCTGAAAACCTGAAACTTGTTTGTGTTTTTGCTTAAGATCTGGCACCACGCTGTGGCGGTTTTGAATCTCTGCGAGGAGTGAGAGTAACGCAACAGATTCTTCACAGTGTGTAGTCAATGGAATTTTTTCACTGGGTACTGGCATTTGTGTGGCTCCTGAATGCTTCTAACAGTGTCTAGCAAAAGTGACAATTGAGTTCCCCCCCGCCTTTATTCAGGATCCCAGGAAGAAGTGCTGCTGTTGTGTCAGAACTTAGAAAAACATATCCTTTCCAGATGTTTGTGTGTAGGAATTCCACTGGTATTTTACATTTGAGACCTCTGCTTTCCCCTGCTGCTACAGACATGCTGGAAATGTTGTTACACACTTAGAAACT